TCATATATATAATTGGTAAGACAGAAATAGGAAATAAGGTTAGAGAATCTTCATCATACAATGATAATAATAAAGTTATCATTTTTTAAGAGTTTAAATTTTTAAATGAATTGATAGTAATAATTTAACAAATGTTAGGGTAGTGAAGGTGGAACATATACTAAGGCCTCGTTTGGGAACAAGCTAATTTAGTAACTTTTTGGCTATTTGGCTAAAAAGGTAGGTAAAAAAAACTTGTATGTTTGGGATGACTTTTTGGCTAATTACGAAAAGATGTGCAAAAAGTAGAGAGAAAAGAGAATCTTTGACTTTTTGATATGGGTTGTTGGCTTTTTGGCTAATTTAGTAACTTTTTGGCTAATTTGCTAAAATAGCCTCTTGCCAAACGAGGCCTAAATTATAGTAAGGTTATGTTAGTAATTTCAAAGGCACATTCATATATGATGACTTTCCTTATATAATAACTTTGTAATCATATCATGTCTTCATTTCAAACCTTTTTATTCTTTTTTGTTTATCTGCTATATAGCATGTGATTTCGAGGTTCATATGGCAACCTGTCATACATTTTCTATACCCATTTGTTTATTTTTGTCAAAGAAATCAAAAACAATTAACAAAAGTAACTTTCAAAATAACTAACTTTTGTTTCAATTGTTAGCAGAATAATTATAAATATGAAAAATAATATTTTAAATAGACTATTAGTCTAACAATAGGTAGAAAATCAATAATCACCAAACTTAAGCCCAAATCTAAGCTCAACAATCACGAATTATTACATACAACCCCTAATGAGAGATAAATAAACACTATCACAAAAAATATCAAACTTCTCTCACCTGAGATGCTACATAACCACTAGGCCAAGACCTTTGTTATTGAGATTCTTTTTCCTACTACTCCTCTTAAGATTATCAAGATTTATACTCGAAAATTACTCAATATATGTAGGTCAAAAAATAAATGTATTCAAAAATAAGGTAGGGCATAACCATTACTTTTTTTATTTAAAAAAAATATATATGTTAAAAACTAATGCATTTTGTCGTGGAGAAAGTTTTGTGAGTACTTTTTGATAAGAAATTACCATATTCCCCTTATTAGGTTGTGAAGTCCTTATTGAAAGGGAAAAAAAAAAATCAAAAATCAAAATTGTTGAGGGTAAAACCAGTTTTGCACAATTTTGTGTTGAGATTATTAAAAAAGTGAGTATTTTTTAGGGACATTTATTCATAAATTTTTTTTTACATACTTATATTTCATTTAATTTAAATTATTTTTTATGTTCTAATAAATTCTGTGAGTGACATAGTTATCAAAATATTCCTAATAATAATATGATAAGGCGCACATAATGTTTATATTGACACTGCGAATGTTTCATAATGTAAACATTGTTACATTTATATTGCCAATGTAAATATTTATATTGTTAAATTTATTTAATGCGAATATTCACATCACAAAATTGTTAAAGATTTTTTTAAAAAAATTGTAAGGGTAAAATTATTCAAAAAATATATTAAAAATATGATAATTAAGATTTGGTGGATCAAATGTCCAAAACAATAGGACTTGCTTATGGACTAATTTAAATACAAATATTTAAAATAGAATTTTCTAATAAATTGGCAAGTTATTTTTTAACCAAACAAAACAACTTCTCTTTTTTTTTTTTTTTTTTTTCTCTCTTTAATTAACAAAGGTAAAATAATAATAATAGTAATAATAAGGCCTCGTTTGGGAATAGGCTAATTTAGTAACTTTTTGTCTATTTGGCTAAAAAAGTAGGTAAAAACAACTTATATGTTTGGGATGACTTTTTGGCTAATTACGAAAAGATGTGCAAAAAGTAGAGAGAAAAAGAGAATTTTTGACTTTTTGGTATGAGTTGTTGGCTTTTTGGCTAAAAAAGTAACTTTTTGACTTTTTAGCTAAAAAGGTAATTCCCCAAACGGGGCCTAATAATAATAATAAACTAATCTGGAGATAGCCAAACAAACCCTTACTCGGGATGAACCCCTAGATATCCTGAGACAAAAAACATTAAATTAGTAAATCTTCAAAATCCTAACTACTTCAAATAAAATAATTATCTTTTTCCGTGGCAGTACAATTTGGATATTTTTTTATGGACTAGATTGCTGGCAGAGTTGGACAGTCTAGTCCAATTATGTGGGCTCATTTTTGATGATTCACGCTTTATTTTAAACGACTCATTGAGAATATCATATATATCATAAATCTATTTAATTAGACATTATTAATTATTTAATTTGATCATTTTTCTCTAAAAATAGATAGATGGATTAATTCTAAAATCATATTATCTATTATTTTCATTTTTTTAAAATGATATAATTAAATAACTATCAATATCTAATTAAATTAATTTTTTTTCTAATTGATTTTCTCGACAAATTTTTGGACTCACAGTAGGCCTTCAGTCCCTTTTGGTGTTTCATGCGAATCTGTAACTAAATTTGAATGGTATAAAAGCAGTGAGTTACATGGGCCAGTGACTTAACCAATGAAGACCCATCTTCCTAAGCCTGTCAATACTATTATATTATACTATACTACCAAAAAGTTTGGCACCCTATGTTTTTGGAAAATGCAAAATGGTCCCCCTTTTCATCAACAAAAATTGAGTAAAATATTATGATGCCCTCCGATTTCTAATCCCTACCTATAATATATATATATATATATTAGCGATGTGTGCAAATGTGATAATTTTATAATAGTATCACATCTATATTTTTATTTATTTATGATTTGATAGTGATAATTTTATAATAGTATCACATCTATATTTTTATTTATTTATGATTTGATAAATGAAGAAGATTAATTGAATTTGATAATTATTAGTAATTATTTCTCTAAGTAGTTAACAAAATGAGTATTTAAAAAAAAACTACAAAACTTCAAAATCTTTCAAGTTGTTTGATTAATATAATAGTATGGGAAATCATATGGTGTGTATGGATTTAAAAAAATTATTTAATATTTCTATAATATTAACATGACATGTGCATGTAATATTCTCTCAATCAATGAGACAACAAAAAATGAATGATTAGGATTGATGTTGTCTCCCATTTAACCGATCTAGGGGTGTTAGATTCACTCCACTTGTTCCAATATACTGCTTTTATTGATCAAAGATCACCATATCAATAATGTTTTGAATTTGTACTTCAAATCTATTGAATGTCGCTTCATGATCTTAATTTGTCGATATCATGGTATTTCAATTTTTGTCCAAATTTGTTATCTAAGTCAACAATTTAATATAGTACATAGTATGCAATTAAATGTGTTCTGATAGCACTCTCTACACAATAATAAAATACTTGACATATTTGGCCGTAATATTAAGACTGCTCAATAATAGTCCATTTGTATGCAGGTGCGAAGCTACGTACAACTAATATTTATTCCAGCCTACGATGACGAGTCTCAAGTATTGAGCTGTTCTTGAATCAAACGTGCGATGATGGATTTAAGTACTATTTTGGAGAGGATGAAATTGAAAATTTTCTCCTCAAAAGAGTACTTGGTATATTTAAGAGTAACGTGTTAGTCTTGGACAATAATGTAGAAGACACTGAATTTTATTTCTTGTCCATTTGATGGATTGTAGGCTTAATTTGAAGACCACCATTGTATGTTTCCTTTACTTGCAAAAAAAAAAAAGATGTAAAGTTAAAGATAGGCATGCATTAAATGAAAAATAAGTGAAATATAGGACAAAGAGATTTAAACACAATAAATTATATATTGTTTAATGCATGTAAAATGAAAGATTCACTGGGGAAAAATTTAAAAACAAGCCAAAACACAAAAATAAATAGGATGATAATTTGCCCTGTTCCTCCATATTCTATTTCGTTCCATTCAATTTTTTTTTTCATAATTCAATAAGAAACAATATTCGTAATTTTTTAAAAAGAGACAAAACATAAATAAACAGGATAGGATTTGCTTCTTCTAACCCATTTTTCTTGCCCTTTGTCCCAATTAATACCAAAATATGTACTTATTTAATTTTTCATGTCATTACTTCTTATTTTTAATACTTTTATATAACTTATCAACAATGTTAGAGGGTCACAATTTTTGTGGCCACAATGGCTCAAAACTGTCAAAACGACGTCGTTTTGACATGTTTTGCACCAAAAACGACGCTGTTTTAACAGTTTTGAGCCACTGTGACCACAAAAATTGTGACCCTCAAACATTTTCCATAACTTATTAACTGTTAATCATCATAAGTTATATAATATTTTTCTTTTTTCATTCGTACTATTGAAAGTTACAAATTACTTCGTCACTTCCTTACTTGCACCACCTCTCTAATTTTTTCCCCTCCACCTCTAAGTTGATACAAATTATTCCATCGCCTTCTCCACTCACACCACCTCATTAATTTTTCATTTTTTTTCCAGTTTTGTTTCCATCTTAATAAAAATAAGATACAAATTATTACATTGCCTTCTCCGCTTGTACCGCCTCTATAATTTTTCTTAGTCTTTATCTTAATAAAAAATGACCATGTGTTCTGCCTCCATCTTGATAAAAAAAAAATGAGACGTTAATTACTCAATCACCTTCTTTACTCGCACCATTCTTTTAATTTTTCTCGTTCTATCCCCGTTTTTGCCTCTATCTTAATAAGAAAACCTATCACCTTCTCTGTTTGCACTATCTCTTTAATTTTCTTCATACTGCCTCCATCTTAACAATAATCACATACAGAATATTTCATCACCTTCTCCGTCCACATCACCTCTCTAATTTTTTATATTCTATCCCTAATTTAATAAAAATTAAAATACTTTCTCCGCTCACTCCATCTCTTAATTTTTCTCATTCCACCTCATCTCGATAAAAAAATTAAGACAAGGATGGAACACCGCCAACCCAACCCCGCCCCGGCCCGGTGCCTTACAGATAACCTGCATGTGACACAAGTCAGAGAGTTTACGGAGACACTTATATGTCCCAAATATGAAAGCAATGACACCTATCGTCATCTCAACTATAAAATGCTGAATGAGAGAGAGAGAGAGAGAGAGTGAACAGAGATTAGAGAGAGAAACATTATAGAGCGAGAGCGAGCGAGAGAGAGAGAGAGAGCTTTAGCTGCTATGAATCCAAGCAAAACAGAGGACGATCTATTCAATCACCTGGACCCTCCGATCATGAACCATCGACTCGAATCACAGCCGTCAATTCTCGACCAAGAACCCTACCCTCTCCCTCCGATGTCCGATATCGTTCTCTTCGGAGTCGACGACTCCGATTCCGACTCACTGAGTCACACTTCCTCCGACGCCGACAACCCCTCCTCCGCCTCCGCAAACCACCACCACAATCATCTCAGCTCCGCCGTCACTCCCCCTACTAACGGCGTCGTTTCACAGCCCACCACCACCACCAACCCTAGGGTTCAACAACAACAACCCTACATTAACCCTAGCCCTCACGTATCGACTCAATTCTACACATTCAACACCGAATCTCATGCTCTGATGATCCAATGCATACTCGAGAGCCGCGCCGCGACTGCCGATGAGATCCGAGCTGCGACGCCGATGCCGGTGCTGTCGAGCTGGAGAGCTGTGTGGAAGGATCGGAATGAAGACACGGCGTATTTAACCGCGTGGAAACGAATCCAAGACAAGCTCATCGTCCATGTCGACGAGCCTCACGGTAATCAATTCTTGTGTTTCAAGAACAATTCGAATCAATTCGTTTCGCATGTTAATCAGTGGCAAGACATAGTGATGAGATTTCATGTTGATAGTGACTTGAAACACTTAGGGCTTAAAGAAACTGTAGAGAGAATTAAGCAATCGTGGACTGTAGGTGCTAAATTTTATGGAATTCCTGAATCATTTATTAAGGTTTGTATTTCCGCTTGCCCCGTGTGCTCCTCCGATTTGTCGGGGTCAATGCAACGGAATAAAAGGCGGCGGTTTGAGTACACAGAGTCGTTTGATGTGCCAGCAAATGAAGTGCCACATAGGTTACGACAATTGGCAGCAAAACATAAGGTTGTGTTGTGTATAAGGCAGAAATATATTAGGTACAAACCATTTATGGCGGAGGTTAAGGATTACGCGTGTCACCGTGCTGGAGTGCCAGCGTCATCGAAGAAATCGAAGGTTTTGAAGAGGGAGCCGTATGCGTCCAAGCGGTGTGGTTGTGGGTTTCGAATAAGGGCAATTGTGCCAATTGCTAATTATAATGAGAAGGATAAGACATTTGTGTATCAAGAAGAGGGGATGGCGGTGTTTAAGTTGTATGCGGTGCATTCGGGTCATGAACCCGGGCCGTTAGATGGCAACGCGAGGATTATGCATCGAGTTGTGGGACATAAAGGGGAATATTTGATGGATCAAGAAACAGTGTATGGGATGAGTGAGGAAATGGAAAATGAGGGTTTTGGGTTCATGGGGAAGGACAAAGGGGATCTACAACATTCGGTTCTACAACAAGTGCAGGAATTGAGAAATGTATTGGGGTCGCTCGAAGGGAGAATTGCAAACATGCCAATTGAGCAATTGGGTTCAATCTCACAAGATTTGTTTGACGCTGTGAATAAACTTAGAACCACAGGAGATTATTGTTCAAAGCCAGTTGGATTACTTTCTGATAAGTCACATTCGGATGATCTGTTGGTGGGAGAGAGCGATTTGGCAGATTGGGGTGATCCTCACCATGAAGGGATATATGGGGATAATAAGGATGGGGAATTGATCGAAGAAGATGAAGACAGCTTTGGGCGAACCCTCGGGGATGTTGTATCTTGGGATCAGATGAGAACAGAGTGTAGGAGTGAGAAGGGTTTGCTGGATGATACTTGTAAACCTGAAAATTGGCTGAAATTGAGCGATTTTGATGAGAAGAACATTCTTGACTGTAAGAGCATTCTTTACTGTGAGGATTCCAAACTAATCAAGCCCTTGAGGAATGACGAGCATATAGTATCAGATGTGGGTCTTGTTGGTGGTATGCAGGTTGACAGCTTCTACCCGGATAATCCGAAATGGTGTGATTCCCCTTGTGCATTGGACTCCAGTACAGATTGTGGTGATAGTGGATTCAGGCATGGGGGGATTATGTAGAGCTTTTTAGAGTTGGGTCAACCCACTCTAACGAAATAATCTTGAGTTTGTTAGGTGCCATTCATTCCATTTTCACAGTTGGAAGTGGGTTGTATATTTATGTATACAGAAGATTGGGGCCTCTTCCATGCTTTTACATGTCCTTGCTGTATGTGGTTCTGTAAAGTTGTAGCTGTTTGGCTTCTATGCATATACTTTATTTTATATCATTTTGTTATGGCCTTGAACTTTTGAAGCTTCTTTGCATTCTGTTTTTAATGTTCATCGAAGTTCTCGTATTTATTGTATATTTAACTATGGTTATCTATCAACGCATTTTGAGAAGCATGAAACTTAATTTTATTGTTGATATGCTTTCCTTGTATATATGCATCTTGCTTTGTTTTGGAAAGCTTATTATTGAGGTTATTACTGCATGGAAAAAGGTGTAAATCCCTCACAGATTGTCATTTTGGAGGTCATGTAAATCATCTTGGCTGCAAATCAGGATGTTTGGAAGATATGTGGGACTTGAGTTGCCAAATCAGACTGGTCTTTACATTATTTTATCTGTCTATTGATCTATGCATATATAGAAAACACTATTCCCTCTCTTCTCTCCATATTGGTATATTGCTGAATGTTCTGTGAGGTGGTTTTAAATGAAATGTTTCTAATGTTGGGGATTGCTGTGTACAGTTACAATTTATCTGTGCCTGAGAATGATTCTATATGGGTACCTACTGAAAAAAAAGGAAGATTATATATGGGTATCTATCTGACTAAAGATAATGGGAAGAAAGGAGACGGGGCTGGGTTGTTGCGGAATCTCTTATTTATCACTTCTTGATTCAAAATCAAAGATTTAGGTGTTCATTGATTTTCTTATATAAAAATAAAACATCTTGATGCTAATAGGTCCATGACTTTTTTTTTTTCTTTTCGTTCTACCGTTCTTTTGTTGTGTTCCAACAAATTCTGTTGTGGGGAAGTTGTGCTGGTCAGTCTTAGCTTCTTGATGGGTGGTAGATACATTTGGTGGTTCGTTTGGAAGTGTCTTGTTTAATTTTGCCTTTAGCCACCAAAGAAATGATATTATATAGCTTGGTGTTAGCTCATTTCTGACAAAATCATGGACATTTTGATGCAAAAAATGATCCACAAACAGAGTTTTTATATAGGAAACCTCTCCAGAATGATGTGGAAGTGGGCATTTTTTAATGAAATTATCACAAAAAGCCACATCATTTTGTATGAGAACTTTGTAGTACAAAAAATCAGTTTGTATAGCATTACCCTTGAGATATTGATTGATCCATAGCCTATTTATATGTAATTTATGTTATACTTGTCGTGTCCCATCAAATTCTGTTGTAGGATTAAGTCATGCCAAACAGTTTGTCTCGTGCTGCGTCATATCCTGTAGCAGCAGTGGGTGTGCTGGAAGTGTTGTGTAATTTTGCAATTAATCCAGTTCAGAACTGCTCTCATCTTACTGGTGTGCTAACTCACCTCTAGCCTGGGTTAAACTTGTACCTGTTACACAGTAAACCAAACATACCTCCATAGAAAGTTTCAACAGTTCCATCGGAGGCCTTTTTAATTTCAAAAATTTGATTTGCAACAAGTTCTCTCTGTATCACTGCTGCTAAATCGTGAGCATGGGTTTCAATATACTCTTAGTTGGTAAAATGAGGAAATGTAAATGTGAATGGGATGTTTTGGTATGTAGATTTTCATAATGCAATGAAAATTCCTTCAATTTTGTGAATTCAGTCTGATAAAGTATTTTTGTTTTTGTTTTTGTTTTTGTTTTTGTGTTAAAAAGGATAGTTTTCAAATAAAAAATCTTGTTAAGACAATAGAAGGTTACTGTCAAAAGTTTCTACAATAATATATGTTAAAATCAAATGTATATTCTTAGCATTGCCTTAAGCTTTCAAATATATTTTATTGTTCTAGTATATGCATGTCCTTCACTCTTTATAAATTGTGGAGATTGCTCATGGAGAGAAAAATAGACTGCTCCTCCTCCTTGTGGAATCTATAGGTATGTGTGCATCCAAAAGTATGGAGATGCACACTGAGGACACATTTTGGATTTCTATGGTGTTTGTTCCAGTCAATTGAGTTTTAATGACACTTCAATTTTGAAAGAATATATCACCCCCTTTTTTTTTTGGGATAAATAAAAAGAATATATAACCCTTGCTTGGTCAATGCTCGAGAGAAGACCTCTCAAGTTTGTTTTTGAACTATAACTTCTTCCATTCAGTTGATATAGAAGAAATAGCTAAATGTCTAAGGAGCTGGATGGTGTCGCCATTTTAGATTGTCATCCACTGCTATTTGTAAGTTTCTTTGTCTTTATCACTGAAATGGCAATTGTCATGAAAGTTCGTTATGGACTTTGCGTTTGGATTTTGAGTTATGCTGAAACAAGAACTCAATTGCCTCTTGTTTATGCCTTCTTTTACTGCACTTCATACTGTTTGCAGATGGTGCTGGAATTTGAAACATGTTGATAAAATTTTACAAAAACAGTAAAACACTGTTAACTGTTTATTTTTGCAGTTAAAAGAAAAAAAAAATCATCTGCACGTTATAGCTATCAATACTCAGATTATTCTTTTTGCTGCGGAGGTGTCAGTGGACGCTTTTCAACCATTAACAGTATCTGCAGAGGTGACATTCTTATATCTTAGATTGGATGCAGAATAGCCAAAGTTTTATGACTATTATTTGTATCATAGGAAGGAGACAAACTCTTGCAAGAGTATATCTGTCCAGAGTTAGTCCTACAATCTATATTGAGCTGCATTGTGCACTATGACTCACAGTGCAATCATAGTTGAGCAATGTGCAATTCTTATGTCAACAATATAGTTGTTTTATTAGGAAACAATTTATGCGTGTTTTGAAAATATCTTTCCCTTTCTTTTGTAAATGCAGGTAAAATCAAATTTGGTGAAATAATTGAGTTGGTTTGAAATCCATTGTTTAGTGTTATAAAATGGCTGGGTTTCAAGCATTGACACCTAGTCAAAATTGGGAGGTATCTGCTGTGGGAAGCTCATGAGAAGCTCTGTAACTAACAAGTAGTTATAATAATTTTTATTGCTAAATTTTTGCTTGATGTACGACTAGAGTGTTCATTGGAAATTTTACAATGATATGAGAGGGAGATAATAATGACTTTGAGGAAGTGGTTGACCGGGTTTCTGATAGGTCCATGGGACAACCATTGTGGGTGACTGCTGTGACAATCAACTTGGCAATTCGTGTGATTGGGGTTGGACCTCCCACTGTCTATGTGTGCACCAGGATATGAACCAATGAGATCACAATAGGCTTGACCTGAACCCAACTTGATTTTGGAAATATTTTTACCTCTTATCTGCCCCTAACTTGTTAAAATGTGTGCATGTATATTTACCTACATTTGTAAGTTTGTATTCTTTACCAGTTTACCTGCTCATCTCTGCCTATGTATGTAAATTTGCATAAGTTTATTGGTATGTCTGTCAGAAGACTCAGAACCTTGTCTTTGGATGGTCAAGACAAGGCAGGTTAAGTGACTAATATAGGTAGGCCTATGAAGAAAGTATTATCAACTATCTAGCAAGACATCCACACTAATTTTATTGACGCATGCAATATATCAACTATTTTATAGGAGGCACAGAGTTAAGGTGAGTTGCCCCCACTGACGTAGTCTGCATGCGAGTATAGTTGTCTTTCTAGTAATAGTTTTAGTTGCAGTTATGCTCCCGCCCTTACCTTAAGTGTAAGTGGTGACGACATGGTTTTCCCTTTAGTTGACGGTATGGGTATTGGAAGTGTTAATTTGGTGATTGTATTGCTAGAAGCCAATCAACTCTGTCTAGGTATTAAAAAGGCACTAAGCCCTTGACAAACATTCAAAATCCAAATTGCCTTAAATAAAAGACGGGTTTAAAATCATTTTCTTTGAACTTGTTTCAATCTCAATTCTATAACTTCATCAGCCGTGTGTAATTTACTTGCCTCTTTTCATATTTATGAATGGTTTTTTGTGAAAGGGTTTCGTATGATTCTTCTATTAGAATAGGAAATTATATTCATATATATTTATTCTGATTTGTTTTCCATTCCTTGATTGATGTAATGGGCTGGCCTGTAATTCATGCCTTATGGCACTCCTGTAATTATGTTTTATTCTTAATATAAAAGGGGATGAGGTCTTATTCATTTTCTATCTCTTTCTCTTCTCTAAATTTTTTGTATCAGAGCCACCCATACCCTAGCAACCTTAAACATTTGCCTCTTTCCTCCCTATCACCTGACACCTTTTTTTCAACCCTACCACACACACCGATAGCCTCTCTCCTTCCTCCTTTCACCCAGACAGCTTCTCTCCTTTCTCCCTTCACCCCGACAACATTCCTAGCCACACCCAGGCTTTCGACAAACCTTACCCAGGTTCCCTTTCCCCTCGGCAGGCTTCCCCAGCTACTGCTGAGGGTTCTCCAATTGCCGACTAGCCTCCTTGCTGGTCTGGCTTAGTGCGGCAGTCCCTATAGGGGAACCTGGGCCCTTCTTTTCTCTTTAGGAGGCCTTCTGTGATGTATTAAATTTAAAATAAAAAAAATAAAAAAATGTATATGAGTTCTTAAATTTCATATGATTTTTTAGTGGTCATTGTGCTTACTCTTCTTCCACCATCTGCTGAGTTTGTGATTGGTACTAGTTTTGTAGAGGGTTAGGTAGTAGAGTATCCATGGCAGATTCCACCAGTGAGTCCACTACTTCTCAGACACCTAAGAGTGAGAGTTCCATTATACCTACTATTATGATTGATAACCCTAACTCTAGTCTTAAAATCACCACTTCTCTATTCAATAGTTAGAACTATCTAGTGTGGTCGCAGAGGTTGACTATTTTTTTGAAGAGTAGAGGGAAAATAAGATATGTTGATGGAATGACACAAGCCCCTAGAACTACGGACCCTAGTTATGATCAGTGGGAGATCACCAACTCCCTAATCATGGGTTGGTTGATACATTCTGTGGTCCCGAATATTGGAGAGGGCTATCTAACTATGGACACTGCATAGGATATTTGGGAGGTAGTGGCTACTACTTACTCTCGGAAGGGGAATTTTTCCCAGGTTTTTGAGTTACGCCAGTCTATTGAGCGGTCAGTACAGAGTGAGATGATTGTCCTTTAATATTTTACCTTCTTTAGCAATGGATGGAAGAGACTTGACCATCTTTAAGATTATAAGCCTGTCTGTCCTATGGATTCTGTTGGTTATTAGAAGTTTGTGGAGCAGGAGCGGGTCTTCAAGTTTTTGGAAGGCCTGAATGTGGAGAATGA